AGTTTCTTCTGCAGAGCTCCTGTAACATTAACTTAGCTGGCATGATAAAAGGACCCAAAAAACCTAATGGATCGTACAGTGAGCTGACCACCGACAAAATACCTCTCCTGGTATGGGGCCGTTCCTGTACTGAAGTCCTAAACATAAACTTGTCAGACTCAACACACCATTGCAGACCAAGTGCTCTTTCAATAGGAAGCTGGTCCGTGTCTAAATCCAGATCTTTCGTCTCTGTTGCTCTGATGTTACTTGGGATTGATGTCAACACAGAGCGGCTATTAGTCACCCATTTTCTGAGACTAAATCCACCTTTGTCACAGAGCACAGTCAAGTCATTTGCAATTTTAATTGCATCTCCTTCTGAGGCTATGGATTTCAGGCAGTCGTCCACATAAAAGTTATGACGAACTGTACTGATCACTGCATCTGGAAAATCCAACACATTGTCCTCTGCAGTTCTTCTCAAGGCATAATTTGCACAACTTGGGGACGATACTGCTCCAAACAAGTGTACCTTCATTCGATATTCCACTGGTTCTTGATCACTATTGCCATTAGGCCACCAAAGAAAGCGAAGAAAGTTCATGTGTTTATCAGGCACATGTACTTGATAAAACATGGCATGGATGTCAGACATGACAGCAACATGTTCTTTCCTGAACCGAATGAGGACCCCAATAAGAGAGTTGGTGAGATCTGGACCCTGCAAGAGCTGACAATTTAGTGATGTTCCTTTGTATGTAGCTCCGCAGTCAAACACAACCCTCAGCTTTCCTTTAGTGGGGTGATGTACTCCGTGATGGGGGATGTACCAGACTTTTCCATCCTCTTGTTCCATTTGGTCGACAGGTACCACTTCAGCATAGCCCTGAACCAACATATCACTGATAAATGAGGTGTACTCCTCCTTAAACGTATCATTCCTTTCAAACTTCCTCTTCAAACCTTGTAGGCGCTGTTCAGCAACACAGCGATTATTTGGTAAGACAGGATCTTCTTCCCTGAAAGGTAAGTCAATGCAATAATGTCCGTTTTTCAGTTCTGCTGTACTACTCACAATCTTCATGAATTTAACGTCCTCTCTTGACATCTCCAATTGCTCCTCTGATGTTCTTTCATTAAAATCATGGTTATATTGTTTAATGAGCATTTCTTCCAGATATTCCACAGATATGCGATTGGTTGTAACAGAGCAGCCAGTCTTTACTCTATTGCTGCCACCCCCTCGAAGTGGTCCATTAATTATCCAGCCAACTCTTGTTCGAACTGCATATGGTCCTTCACCTTGACTGTTGATCAACTCCCAGGGTTCCATCACTTTTGCTGCATCAGTTCCAATGAGCAAATCAACATTTGAATCCACATCATGAAGGTGTATGTTCCCCAAGTAAGACCATTTAGCCACATCCTCTTGTCGTGGAATGTTCAATTTTGACACTGGCATAATTTTTTGAGTTAAAACATTAGGCAACTCAATAAAATCATTAGTATCCATGCTAGACACTTCCAAACCAGACAAAACATTAGTACTCACAATTTTCTTTTGACCCATTGTCCTTAATAGAATGTTTGCTGGCTTTCCTCTTAGGCCTAGTCTCCTTGCCAAATCAACAGTGCAGAAAGTACCTGAACTCCCAGGATCCAAAAAAGCGTAGGTCTGTCCAACTGTATTACTCATCTGGCTTTTAACCTGAACTGCAACAATTGAGAAGACAGCATCATCCTCTTCACCGGCCCCTATATGACCACATGTCTGTTGTCCAGTTGACACACTCAGTGGAAGGCTCACAGACTCCTGTGCTTCTTTGAACGATGTACCCTTTACCTCAATGTGAAGGACTGAGGGGTGCTTCAGGTGACACACACTGCAATCTAAACGACTCCTACAGTCTTTGCTTGTGTGACCAACTTTTAAGCAACCAAAACAAATTCCATTTTCCTTTATGAAACTTATCTTGTCCCGGTGCATCTTCAATTTAAACCGTGAGCATTTATCCAGAGCGTGATTGTTCTGTTGGCAGAATAAACAGCATCTAAGATTACTTTGGGCAGAGGAGGACTTGCTCTTATCGTCAATGTAGCTCCTATCTCCTTCTTTTACTGAACTGACACTGGTTGCAAAAGTGTTTCCAGTTCTTCTCTGCTTTGCATGTCCAGCGTTGGAGACTTTAGTATAGGTGGTAGGTTGACAATCCTGTATATTACCAAACAGAGGGTCAGAGACAATTCTTACTTGTTTTTCAACAAAGGTCACAAGGTCAGTGAATACAGCCCTGTTTCCACTTTGCTCCTGCAGATCACATGCAACATTTCTCCATTTTTCCCTTAGCTTATAAGGCAATTTCATTACAATGCTTCTGAGGTTGGATGGCATGTCCAACTCCTTCATATACATGATTTGCTGTGTTAAATTGGAACAACCTCGAAGAAACAGAGAAAATGATTGTAGTGCTTTCACATCCTCTGGTTTAATGAGAGGCCATGTAAGAATTTTGTCCATATAAGCAGAGGCGATTTTGTGCTCATTACCAAAATGTTCTGCAAGAAGGGATTTAGCTCTTTGGTATCCCTGCTGAGGAGGCAAGTGCTGACAACTTTTCACCAGGTCTCTTGGCTGACCCCTGGTGTACTGCTCCAAAAAGTTCAAGCAATCACTCATATTATTAGTCTTTTCTTCTACACAGTTTTCAAAAGCTCTAATAAAGGTTCTAAACTGAAGAGGGTCACCATCAAACACAGGAATATTTCTCATTGGCAAAGCAGATGCTAAATTTTGCTGAACCAACAATGTGGTGATGTCGTTCTGTCGTTGCATAATGCTCAAAATATCGTTCTGGGTGTTATCATCGCATGCTGGGTTAAGATAGGATTGGCGTCCTATTTGTTGAGCATCATGAACCATTGGTGTCCTTTGTGTTTGGGTGTCACTTGTTGCAAGTCTGGTGTCTGATGGTTTCATTTCCACCTTTTTAGGTCTGACAATCTGAGCCTGTGACACAGGGTGAGATCCACGGTGTTTATTCTTTATGTCACTGTGTTCTGGAATGAAATGATCAGCGTGAGGATTGAGGCGGCCTGTCCTTTGCTTGTTCTTTTCATAATAGGAATTCATTCCATCAGATCCTTTAGAACCACACTTTGAATTCATTTCCAGCACATGAAGTTTAGCATTGGCTACAGCAAGATCGGTTTCCAGAGCCAACTGTTCCTTTTCCTTCCTTAATTCCTCTTCTTTGGCTTCTAACAAGTGTTTCCTTTTTAATGCAGTCATGCGTTCCATAAGTGCTGCCTTATCAGCTTCTGCATTTATCCTTGCAGATGAAGTTGAGGATACTCTTGATACTTGAGAGTGTAATCTGGAATTATTCTCCTTTACAAATGAGATGTTAGATGCACTGTCCTCAGGTCTAATCCCATCAGAAGTTACGCTTTGGTTGTCAGGATGTTCAGCATCAATATCAACTGATTGTACATATGGGTGAGCAGCCTCAGACAACCAGCCCTTTACTTCTTCAGTGAAATCACAGAACATGGTCATTTTTGTATGAAAATACTTATTTTGTCTTTGAACTTCACTCTCTGGCAAATTCAAATTCAAGAAGGATTCATGTGTGTCATTAGCTTCCTCATAACACTTAATGCATTTTCCCAACTGAGATTGCACAGAGTTCACATTGTCAGTGGATTCCATCAAGACACGTATTTGTTCCATGTACTTCTTAGCCTGCTTACATTTCAAAGACCTCTTTTCTTGGCACGTTTTTGCATAAAATGCCAACCCTTTTTCGGTGAACTTGGCGCTTCGTTTTACAGAGTGCGTAGACAGAGCGTCACTCTTCGCTCTTGATGTGCCAGATTGTTGCGACATTGTTTGTTTGTTCTCAAATCCCTTTAAGTCCATCTCAATTTTCACACAATTTGTTTGCCGTAGCACGAAGAAACATCATTTGTTGCATTAAGTCACTTCAATGACATAGCTTTCTTATGAATGAATGACGTGAATGTCTCTGTTGAGGTATTGCGCAACCGCTACACATCCTCCAAAATCCCTCAGAACCTTCAAGACTTCCAATATTCAACCTCATGCAGTGAAACAATGAATCCAATGCTCCAATAGCTAAGCCATCTTCCAATACAGCTTCAAAGTAAACATTTTTCACATACCGACTTTTGAACAGCTTTGTGTGATGTCCGTAGGCCACTGTCTTTCCAGGCAACGATGTGGTTTTCAACAACCTACTCCACAATCCTCCTTTGTGTAAGTGATCCAAGCTTCCACAAAGTCCATCGACATGAATGTCCACATTTAAGGTGGGTTTTTTACTTATGTAATGGCGATTTGTCTTCAACTTAAATCAAACAAGAAATCAAAATAAAATAAACAAACTCAAAATCAAACAGCCATTGAGGCACTTAAAGATCGAATCTTACGCAGGATACAATAAGTCCAATGTCCAAGCAAGCATATCGTTCATGCGGTTTATTTCCATTTGAGCAAGCAAGCATACAAACAAATGGTGTCTGCAGCCTCTCTTTCCCTGGTAAAAAACCAACAACCTTTCCCAGTGCCTGCCTGTCTTAAATGTGACCACCATTATATACCTGCCAACAGGTGCTCAATACTATCAAAATAAAAGTCCCAAAAATACTCAAATTAACTAAAATAACAACATTAATATTCTGGATCTACATCAATAAAATAATCATGCAAATTATTTAAGGTGAAACAAAATAAAGTAATTTAATTATTAACTTAATTACAAAACAAGGAAATAGCTCCAACACCACATATAGGCCTAATATTAATATTGCGTAACAATTGTGTAGTGTGTAAAAATGGCTTTTGCTGTTTTATATCTAAGTAGTAAACTATTTCGGATTGGCTGTAATTACATTGCCTGCAGTACAGCTAAAGCTGAAATGTTTAGATTAGGATTAGGCTATTACTTTTAATTCTGTAAGGCATGTCAGCTTTATATTTACAGTATACCTTCTTAGATGTTTTGAAAGGAAATGGCTTCCGGAGTGGTGTGACATATCTCCCCCTCTTTTTTTGCTGCCGTTCTTTCCATCTTTCCTGGTCCACTCTAAATGTCTGCATAAAGTAAAGTTTTGATGGAGGCATTCAATTATAATTTCAATAACTTTGGAGAACTGTTTTAGATACCAATACAAATAATTTGATTACATACAAAATTTAAGTTTCTTTATATTTACTTTCACTTAAACACTTTGATCCAAACCACTTCTAATGAAACTATAATTAAATTATTCAAACCTTTCTTCTAAAAACTCTTTTGGAATCTTCATATTCCTTCAGGAGAGCAGTGTGAGTGGTCTGGTACCGGGCCACAAAATCATCAAGCCTAGTCAGGCGGCCCGAGGGAAATCTAATATGTTTTAAATCCCACTGGCTCTTCTCCATTATGCCCTGGGTTCTGTTGTCCTCTGTTATGTTCTAAGAAATGTATAAAAAAAACAGGTAAATGTTAAACACATTAAGTAATGAGTAATAAAGTCGTGACATGTAAAATATATTATAATTACTTGTCTTGGAAGCTTTCTGAGCGTGTTGAATTTTCGAGAGCACTGCTCATATTGTGGTCCCGTCCCATGTCGTCCAAGGTCCCCTTTGAACAAAAGAATGTAAGTAAAGCCATGTGTTTGATTTGAATAAAACCAAGCAAGATTTTTATATCGATAATAGATATATTGATTAATGATGACAAACCTAGCATTATGCCGGTCCACAATCCAGAATATGGTAGAATGTATTTGCTGAGGTGCTCGATAAGGCCTCTGCAAAAATACACATTCGGCTCTCCAGACCTGTCCAGTGGAGCTTTGGAAATTACATCTTTGCAACGTTTTGCAAATCGGTTGTCTCCATCGATGTCCTTAATGTAATGTAACAATGTGTTATTATTACACAGGTCTGTTTGAAAATTAAAAAAATTACTGACAAAACTTTAACAAGTTTAACCTTTGACCTTTTGATAATGTCGGGGCAGGACATGCCAGACATGTACAGTACTTGGTGCCATGTGTTGTTGAGGTTGTGCTGTTTTGTCCCAAATTTTTTGATAAGTAGTTAAAATTTTTGGAGAGCAGTACAACACAGCCCACCACACAATGAACATAAAAGAACCATCAATGACACATAAAAGGAACATTTATTAAAAATAATGCTATTTTTAAAAAAATATTTTTCACTGTGTTCACTGTCTGTTAATCTTTAGTGTACCCAGCTTTCCCATGTGTTTCTTTGTTTCATCTCATTAATATGTTTGTCTGCTTGGTTACTGATTAATAAGTGTCCTAATTTCATGTGTGTGTATTAGCTCCCTTGTTTTTCTGTGTCTGTTAGTTGTCAAACGTTGTTTAATGTCACAAATGGCCGTGCTAAGTTTCTCCTTATATATCTAATATAGAATTTCTTAATGATCCTAAATCATGTGCTTTATTACTGCTACCAATTGACAATCATACCATAACATATGTTTGAGGCTGTGGATGTTGTGGACTTTATATTTATTATACATTTCTGTCTTGTTATACTAAAATGATGGTGTGTTGTGTTGTTCCAGTGGCAGATAAATATATTTTTTATTTTATTTTATGACAACACACACTTACAAAACACAGTAAAGTTAAGTAATGTCCTTCTGCTATTGTAGAGTATTTACATTACATGTTATTAAATGGTAGTAATGTTCAAATATGTATAATTTTAACCCACTTTTATATCATTGTAAACTAGCTGCACTCCATGGCATTTATCTAAGTACATTTTCACTCAAGAAATTTAACTTCATTAACTTTTCTTTATATTATTTCTTTGATAACAACAGTATACCTTCGCATATTTTTTCAAATTAAAACCATAAATGTTCGAATTCAAATTCAAACTTGGTATTGATATTTACCTCAAAGCTCTCACTTTTGGACTCGGTTGTCTCATCCAATGTCGCTGTTCTCAGCAGCCATGACTGCAGGTTCTTGAAATGTTTATCTACATTGGGACCCGAGGATGGACTGGAGAACACAACTGCAGCACTTTGAACCATGTCGTCTAATTCGATCAGAGTGCTTGCAGTTGTCAGTGCACCGAAGACGTGCATGGCCAGATGGTAGTGGTTTGGCGCACTGTGGAATGTAACAAAAATAATTAGGTTCAAGAATATAACTATGGTCTTCAATGATATATGTTGATAGATGATATATTGTACAACTTGTGTGTATTATATCCAAATCTACACTTGTTATACACTATGTTATATTTGCTGGTCTTTTGTATATTTGTTAAATAGATCATTATTCTATTAATTTCACAGGCAAAGCCAATTTAGGAGAATTCAGAAGCCACACAGCTAACAGAAAATGTGTGCATTTTGATAGTTCAGATCACATTGCCAGTAACATTATTGTTTTTTGGTATTAGGAAAATACAGAGATGTTGCTGTTGTGTTTTTTACACTAGCACATTAATGAAAGGTAATTCATTACACAATCTGTAAAAAGTTTATTGTGCTCTTAGCAAAATGACAGTAAAAGAGGATTGTCACAAACAGTAATTTTTTCAAGTACACAACTTACTACTTTCTGCACATTTCCTTAGCGTTCTTCATAACGTGGCTGAGACAACGATGGAGAATAGGGACTTCAAAATCTGCTTTTTTTCCTTGACCACTTGCTATGTTATAGTAGTGGTCAATGGTGTCTTTCAGATTTTTCTTTGCAAATGACAGGCATATTGCCTGCATCAACACCATTGACCCATCACACAGGACCATGATGGGAGACCGCATACCCTTTTTCCCGAAACACCTTGCCACATCGGTCTGAAACGCCTCAAGGAAATAATTTACTGAGGCAGTGGTGTGATCGCAGGTAAGGTATGTAGCAACAGGTAGTGGAGATGAGTTTTTATGGGGATTCCTGACCACCAACTCATATACATAAAACGGCATCGCTCTTGATATATTTCTATCCCCCTGTGTGACCAAAGAAGAACCCCTTTTGGGTGCAACATCACCTTCTGTAGGACCTCATCCGGACCGCCTTTTTTCTGCTCAATCATTTTTTGAAGACTGATAATTTCATTACTGTGCAGCCGGCTTCTCTTTCGTGCTTCCCACGATATATTTTTCAGGACATTCGGACTTGGAGCCTCATCCCGACAGCCAGACTCCATAACATCTTCGGGTATGTTTGTTAATTTTTCAAGGTACATTGCTCGTGGAAGCTGTCTTTTTAGGTCTTCGCCCAGTGATTTTCTTTCGTGTGCCCTAACAGGTCTTCTTTTCAATTCCGTTAAATTATGAATACTCTTCTCCCCTTGGTAATTTACTATTGCCTTGAGGTCCTCTTCACTGTCCACAGTAACTGTCACTGTGACAGGGCAATCTTCAAATCTACAGTAACCAAGGCAGGAGAATTCAGGGCTTGCATGTAATGAACCCATCACCTTCAGTTTGTGCCTTTTAAAGGCAATTGAACAGTATGGGTTTATGGTCCTCAGACCTTTTGAGATGACATTTGTCCACTGAAGTCCTTTAAAGCTTCTTTCTTTTCTGTTCTTCTTGAGCTTTTCCCAATCACTCCTTTCAATGTAAAAGAATGATGGGTTCTTGGGTAAGTGGATTTTTATAAATCCATCGTCATCAGATGTATTACTCATAGACCCCTAATGAAGAAATAAAATGTTACTATAACATGTATGTATGTCCATTAATTAATTTTTATTTTATTTTATTTTTTTACTTTGGAACATGTAATTCTACAACCTTTGTTTCTGGAACAGTAGTGCAGTCAAACGTGAACACGGACAAATACTTATTTTTTCACATATTGTAATTGTAACATTAACAATAAAAAGGAATAATGTGATGGGAAGTCAATGTAGAACACTAGATTCTTATTATCATAACTTATCTTTCAATTACAAGACAAGGCATATACAGTAGGCACCCAACATTGAATTAACCAAATTAGAAAAAGAGTGAATACTAACTTTCTCTAAAGATTGGCAATATCCTGCGTGCTGTGTTTACAGAAAGTCAAGCAATGTTTGACATTGTACCACTGAAGAAGACAAGCAACCTGTATGAATACAAAGAGTGAAGACTGACCTTCTCTGGAGACTTGTGTCCCTCATCTTCAGCAGCACTTCCACTGGCCACAGATGACAGAGGAGATGTGTTTTTTTCTGCCTGATGCTTTTTGACAAAGTGTATAATGTAATAATGTTGTTTAAATGTAAACATTTCGAAAAGAACCTTGTTAAAATATGACATGCCTGCATCTGTCTTTGAGAAACTCAATATAACATTTATTATTGAATCTCATTAGCAAGATTTATTATACACATACATACAGTATATATATATATATATATATATATATATATATATATATATATATATATATATATATATATATATTTGTGTGTGTGCTCACCTTATGAAAAACATTTTGCAAACAATAGCGATTGTTTTTAGTGTTTGCAATGGCAAGTGCAATGCACACTTGTCCCCAGAAGCCGTCTTTATTTGTAATGTTATCATCATAGTCGCTGACTTTCTTTTTCAGGACCTCAACTGTCTCCACAATTTCATGGTCTACTATATGTATGGTTTTGTTCTATTGGGGAAATAATGCATAAAAAAAATGACATAGTTATACATAGTTATTCAACTAAGTGTAATTGCACAGATGGATAGTTAATTGCATTACTCACCCCAAATAACTTGAATGAGTGTACTCTGGTTAAAATCAAAAAAGGAAGAAATTAGGATGACAAACACACACACACACACACACACACACACACACACACACACACAAACACGCAGAAACACACACACACACACAAATATAAATAAATATCATTGCTGTAAAAATGTAGAATACTGTTCTGAAGAAACCATTTATAAATGAATATTACACACTTTTGACATTAAAGTAACTACTATTAACAAACAAGATAAAACAATTTCTAACAATACGTTGCCGTGTCGTAGTTTACATTTAGAAAATTACTATTATTTATTTATTACTAATCTATTAATTACATATAAAAAATTGGATAAACAGGATCATAATACTTGTGTTTTATACATAATGCATCATTGATGTAAATTTAATAAACTTATAAAATATAATAAGCCCATTTATAATGACTGTCTATAATCTGTATATTAAAGAGAAAACATCACACAAAAAAAGTTTAAATGACTTCAGATTGTATTTAAGAATTCTCAGGTGTTTCTCTTTAAAATAATGTTCAAAATATATAGTAATTTTGTAATATTTGAGTCATTGTTATTAGGTTAACACCATGATCTTCACTTTATACTAAATTATAGCCTACATTAAACATTACACATAAATTATGAACCTACAGTTTAGTCCTCAAGGATTAGATAACAGTAAACTACTAACCCGACTATAACATATAGCCTAATAATTCGTAAATCTAAACCTAATAATTCAATTTTTTTGTTAATAAACAGTAGTTACTACAGTGTTAATAGTAGGCTAGGCTACTCATTTGCGCTGCTCATTTGCTCCTTTGAAAAAAAAAATTAAACTCACTTTACATAGACAATAATTTTTTAGAGTTGCTGTAAAGCCCAAACAATATCTGTCCTTTGACTTTCATATTTTCACTATAAAATTTACTGTATTCACTTTGAAATCCGTAGGAAGCGCTATATAAACAAAGATGACTTGACTTGAATAGTTTTTCTTTGATGATTGCCTGTAATCGTATTGTTAATTTCGCACTGTAATTGATAGTAAAACCAAAGACTGCCCTAAGTAAAACATTTCCTTTTTAGTATTCAGTAGACACTTTACTGTATAATAAACATTGCATGACATTAGACAGACATCAGAGAAATAACATGTTAGCCTAGAATAGATTGTTGAATTGTGCTAAGGCTAATTGATTTAACATGCATATGGCTAATGGTGTGTGTGGCAAAAAAAAATGGCAAAAAAATTACGGTGATGAGTAAGGTTACTCAATGTGCAAATAAATCCAGGTGTTTATAGTAAATGGGGATTCTATATTTAATAAAAATATGCAGTCACCCTTTCTTCCTCGGCATCTTTCCAGTCATCAGATGGTGCAAGTACGGTTTGTGTTGTTCATCAAGAAACAGCAATAGCTTACTGTCATCGCACGGTTGTTTTGTCAGTGTAGGTGCATTAGGCCTCGCAGGTGCCTGTTTAAAACGTATCAGGTAACATATTTGCTGTTTTGACATTGCACTACGTTGCAAAGTGTAATTTTAAACATATATACTTTAGACATAATAACCATTTAATAAGAATATTATGGCGATCATAGAGGTCAACTCTCAGGTAGACAGTACTGTAATAAAATATCTTTTATTTTCAAGATATATTTGTAATGGTAAAATAATCAAAGTTACTTAATTTTGCATTACTGCTGCTGTTATGTTTTCAACGGAAAATGTTGCAGTTAAATGTTTTATTTTATTTTATTACAAGTTAAAAGTAAAAAGTAAAAAGTAAAAAATGAAAATCTTTGATAAGAAGTTACAAGGAGGATGGGTCTTAACGCTTTATATTTTCAAACTATTAACCAGACATTCAAAATTAACTTGATTAAGTATTGTATTTCGAACAATAGTTTACCCTAGTTTTGGATCCCTAATTTAATCTTTAAACAATGTGGTGACCTTAAATTCTTATTATCTTGTAATTTTAAGTGCAGCAAATTACATATTAAACTCTCAAATTTTCAAAAAACAAGCTCTTGAGTCCTGGAAGATTGCTTTCAAACATAATTTCTCCCCACACACGTGTATTATTTGGATTAATGAAAATTTACTGTGTGGTAACAAGTCTCTTTTTTTTCAAAGAATGGGTGGATCAAAATATTCTTTTTGTTTCTGATTTGTTTAGTGCTCAAGGAGACCTTCTTTCCTTATGATTGTATGTCCCTAAAAAGTGTTATGATTTCTGTAAGAGATTTTAATAAGGTGACTGAAAGCATTCCTGTAAGTGTTAGAACCTTGTTTAAAGCGCATTTAAGTTACAACCGTTTAAACAAGTTTATTCTTGCATTCAGTGATGTTAATATATTAGATAAAAAATGCAACAACTTCTTTATTAGGAATGCTCTTTCTTCAACTTCAAGAATTCTTCCTAAAGCTTGTTCTAAATAGAGTATCTGTTATCTAAACTCTGATTTGAATTACTTATGGGCTTTTTCTCACAATCTTTTTATTCCTAATAAAATAAAAGAACTACATTTCAAAACTGTTCATAGATATT